TTTTTTTTTCCGTTTTTTTTTTTTTTTTTTTTTTTTTTTTTTACAGTATATTGCAAGTAGTAGGTAAAGAGAAATTCTAAATACTGAAAGTCATTGGTAGTGTCCCTTTAAAAACAGATTGTTCAGTATTTACTTTGATACGTTAAAGTATTTTAGCTTTTCATTTGTATTGAAAATATGTTAATTGTTGGTTTAAAAATTTGTTTTTGAGTACTAAAGTTGCTTAAAAAAAGCAAAGTAGATTGCAAGAACCACAATGAAGAAACTGAAATAAAAGTATCAATTTCTTATTATTTATTCAGGAGATTTCACCTAAACCTCAAAATCAGAAAAAAAATGAAGCTGATATTAGCAGTTCTGCCAACACTCAGAAACCTGCACTGTTATCCTCAACTTTGTCTTCAGGAAAGGCTCGCAGCAAGAAATGCAAACAAGAATCTGGAGATTCTTCTGGGTGTATAAAGCCCCCTAAATCACCACTTTCCCCAGAATTAATACAAGTCGAGGATTTGACGCTGGTCTCTCAGCTTCCTTCTTCTGTGATAAATAAAACTAGTGAGCACAGACATTTTAAAAAATACCGTAATTACTTATAGTCATAAGAGATATACCGAAAAAACCATTTTGACTGTAAATTAATGTTGCTTTTTTCTTTTACAATGAATTTGCTTAAAAAAAATCAAACGTAAGTGTGTGCACTAGGGATAACTTAAGCTTACTGAAAGTCAAGTCACATAACATGGTATGTGAATTATGGTGCAAAGGATAATGGCACTTTTTTTGCAGTAGAAAGTCCCAGCTTTTAATGGTTAAGTTCCACTCTAGCTTGAATCTCCATACTATAGACACTTCTGTTTAAAGGGCCTGATTCATTAAAAAAGAAAAGACATGCAATTTTGTTGCGGATCTTTCCTTTTCAATTCTGAGGAATTCTACCTGCAGTGGACTGAAGTAACGTACCTGTTGGCTACACCATTCTTCATCCTACATGATATTTCATCACACTATGGTGTGCAAGCGAAGAAGGGTTCTCTTTGATGGGGAAGCAAGGGAAGCTATTGTGTAGGCTGTTAAATACAACTTAGTCACTCAGCCTCTTAAGCATGTATAGTAACTTACATAGTATTGAAATATCATGGGTCAGCAGTAGAGAAATTTATCTGTTGCATATCGTCCTTGAATGTTTTATTACATTTTTGTGCATATTGCAATATTCATATGTTAAATTTTGGGGGAGACAGAGTAGCATTTTCAACCTTTTCATATTTGTTTTGGGACCCATGTCTTAAAAATTTTCCTTGCTCTCTGAAAGCTAAGTTTGTGGTCTACACTTAACAACAATTCCTATAAATCAGAGGCTTGTTTCACTTCACTCACAGAGCAGTGGCAAAATAAGGATTGAAGAAGACTACTGCACCTCGTGTGTGTGTTGTGTTCTTTCCCCCACTCACCTTTTGCCACATGCCTACTCCCAGGAGATACCGGTCTCTCTCAATCTTTTCTCATAGCAAATTTTAATTGAGCAGGGGAGGGAGATGAGTAAATGAAAAGTTCTCTGTTCACTCAAGAAACATCAATGGTTTTAAATCATGTTACTACTTTTCCCCACAAAACATTGCTGTCCATGCATGTTGTAATGCCGCCAAGATGTCGGTAAGTAGTTTTCCTTGAGGTTATTCTGTATTTTAGACTGAAGCTACATTTTTTGTTCCTGGTATTTGAAATACAAAATCTTAACCTGCATTTTGTCTAGAGATGTTACTTTTCACAGTTTACTAAATAGTGGCTTCCACCTGTTGAAAATTTTTAGTAGAAACATTATTTTTGTTGCTTGTTTGCTTTTTCGTTTTTCTTTCTTTCTTCTTTCTTTCTTTCTTTCTTTCTTTCTTTTTTTAAAGCTGTAAGCCTTCAGCTGCAAATCTACAGCATGACATACAAGTTTCTAGATAGGACAAGGGGAAAAATGATTAACAAAACTATTATTTGTGCAGGTAAAGCACATTTCCCAAAGTACAATATACGAAATGTGCATAAATCACGTTTTATTTTTTTAATGAATCAGGCCTTAAATATTTACAGTACTCTCATTTGAGATTCTTAATGCTGGGGTTGAGACTTCTTGTTATGTAGTGCATTGACATTAGTTTTGTGCTGGCTGTAACCATGGTGTTGATATCAGTTCAGCAGCAAGTGAGGATATGAGAACTAAAATGAACTACTTTTGTGAATTTATTTTAACAGTTTTACATTAATACTGTCCATACTTTCTCAAGTATTTATAAGTGTGATGATTTCGTTTCCTTTACTGAGATATTATTGTTCCTTTCATTGCAAGTGATCTGTTCTCTCCTTTATTTGATGGGTTGACTCCTGTAATTTGCAAATAGAAGATTTACATGAGTTCCTCTTTATCAATGGGAGAGTAGATCCCTTAATTTGTATGCTAAGCAAAAACCCAAATCCTGCCACAAACATTAACCTTCTTCTCATACTCAGAATTTTTAATCATTCTTACAAATCATGGTGTAATTAGTACTGCAGATGAGAACTATTTAAAGCATGTCCCTTCTTTCCATCTTAAACTATTATAGTAAGATGATGAGATACCTCTGCTTCGTCAACATTGAAAGATCTTTTTTTAGGTCCATCACAGCCAGTGAATCCCCCTAGATCCTACAAACATAGCCAGCGGAGAAGAAGATCGCAGCGTTTGGCCACTTGCCCATTGCCTGATGATTCTGTAGAAAAGGTTCCTTCTCCAGTCACTGATGGAAAAGTGTTCTCCATCAGTGCCCAAAATCAACAGTCAACCATGTCAGAGGGTAATGTATTTTAATCTAATAAAGAACAATAAGAGAAACTGAATCATAAAAAAAAGACCTTTCACATTTTTTCACCTTTAGACTAACATTCAGTAACCCTAGCTGCAAGCTATTCATTTATTGTTTAACACTGCAGCCCAAACTGTTGTTTGTTGGGTCCTTATATCTTTGTTAATGTTACATTTTTCTTTTATGTAGTACCTGATGTTGCTCACATGTCACTTGAGAAGCGTGGACCATGTCTCCCTCTTGACTTAAGCCGTAATTCGGAAGTTACAACATCATTATCCACAGAATCCACTTTCCGTAATGAATACCCCAGTAAAGAAAAGGAAGATATTCAGATGATTACATATCATTCTTCCAAAACAGTAACTGATGGAAGAGTAGCCACCACAGCGTCAGGTAAAGAGATTCAGTTTACGAGCAGTTAGGTTAATAGCTGTAGGGTATGTATGAATGTGTTGCATGTGTTGTTATCCAAAATGAAGGCATAGTTTTTGTGCTGTAAGCTTTCAAGTCTGCTGCTTTCTTGGGATCCTTTTGGATTCTCTGGCTTCTTCCAACTTTGAACTGTGTTAGCTCTTTGATTCCAATGGTTTAGGAGTTCCCATTCATTATCTCTCTTTAGATGTCAAATTCAGGAATGTGTATTTAACTTTAGCAGATATTGATATCATTTCCACCCCCGCCACTTCTTTGGAAAACCCAGGAACACTTTTAGAGTAGGATATTTAGATGCAATTGGCATTGGGTTAGTTCTGTTCTAATAATAAAACCAATGGGAGTTTTGCCATGTCCCTCAGTGGGAGAAATATTACAGCAAAGCACTTTTAGAAAATCCTACCTGTATCTTATAAAAACATTCGACCCATGCATCTGGAGCCATGCTCTGGGGCTGTACCCCAGAAGTTACTAGAACTGGATACTTTGACCCACGTAAGGCATTCAGATCCATGCTGAGAGGGAACTTCATTAGAGACTTTCATCCTAAGACAACTGATGCACCTTGAGGATGAAAGTATATTTTAGGACCTGTTTGACTTTTCCACTCTGGTGAAAGTTGCTTCCACTTACTGTTTTTGTTTAAAAATGAGTCTTTTACAAAGGATAAGATTTACCAACTTTTTTTTTTTTTAAAGGATTGGTTAGCAGTGTGGTATTTACATGTGATACAAGTCTGATAATTGATTGAATTAAATTACTAAAAATTAAAAATACACCCCTGAAATGGTATAGCTTTATAGATTCTCATTTAAAAAGCATATCTTGTCATTGCAAGTTTGTGCAATAATTTTAATTATGTGTTTACACTTTTTATGGCACTTAGGTACTGTGTTTAGATTAGATTGTGTGGGCCTGTCAGAATGTTTCAGTATTGCACTGTTTGGTAATGGTATATGGAACAATCATTCAGTACTGTACTCAGTTATCTTTATGTCAGGGATTGGCAGCATTTTTGGGCAGCGTGCCAAATACACCTGCAACCTCATCTTGTAACACGTTGGCATGTCAGGGACAGACGGTGGAGGAACCACAAAGGGCCTGATCTTTGTTGTGGCCGTGTAGCCCTGATCCCTTCCCCACTGACTGCCCTTAGGTGTGCGTGGATCCACTGCCAGCAGTGAGCTGGACTGGGGCTCTCTGGACCCTGATGCACCTGCTGGCAACTTCCCAGCTGCCTGACACCGGTAGCCTGGGCTCTGCCACTTGCCACAGAGCCTGAGCTGCTCACCGCAGGTGGCAGGGAGACTTAAAGTGGCTGTTCTGGGTCTGGGGAGTCCTGGCCTGGCTCGTTGCCAGCGGGGGGTGCCCACACGCCTTGTAGTGGATGGCAGGGAAAGAGCAGGGGCTGTATTGCCACTACAGCAACAAGGATCAGGCCCCTTATGACTCCTCCACCATCCATCCTGTGATGCACATGCCAAGCAAAATGCCATTGTGTACTATGCTCTGGCTCCTGTGCTGGGGGTTGCCTACACCTGGTCAGATTCCTGCTGACTCTGTGTAGGTTTCTCTCTCTGCAGAATTGTAATCAATTGTTTTCAAGGCAGGAATGGCAGAGTAAAATTTTATAGCCTATGTCAGATGGAAGAGTAGATTAGATCATCATAATGGTCCCTTTTGACCTTAAAATCCCTTTTGACCTTAAAATTCTTGACTATGAAATCCTCTAGTTAAAAAGTAGAGGGCATGGTGTTCCTCCAGACAAGTGGTTCTCAACCAGGGTCAGTGGAACCTCGGGGTTGCCGTGAGATCCTTTCAAGGGTGCAATGCAGCACGGTGCCACAAAATGTTAGCACTGTTAGGTGCACAAACACCGTTCACAAGATAAACACAGAGATTTCAAACAGGAATCCTGACCTGTTTTGGTTTTTCTGGTTCTTTGCAACAGAAGAATTGCCCTTTTATTTTTCTGTGGTCAGAAAATGTGTGAAAACAAGGATCTGGCATTTTCCAAGGAGTGCCTTGAGTCTCTCAAGGGGTGCCTCAGGTTTATTGAGGGGTGCCTCTAAGTCTAAAAAAAGGTTAAGAACCACAGCTGTAGATGGACTTATAAAATGCACATCCTGCATTTTATAAGTCTACTGAGGCAATGCAGCTGAAGAAGGCTCACCAGTAAGTAATCTCCCTATTCTGGAGCACATCTTTCATTTCAGTTTTTTGGATGTAGTGGACACATTCACTTGAGGTAGATGGATGCTGTTGCATTTCAGTAATAAAGGACTTAAGTCTTTGGACTTGGAGATAAGACTCCTCAGTTTGGTAGCATTCAGTACTTGTTTTTAAGTGGTTGGCCAGCAAAGACCACCAAAATAATCAGGAATATGGCTGAAGCATTTGATATGCTTGCTTTATGCTTGGGGAGATTTGTTCTTATCTCTGACAAGCTGGAAAGAAATACAAGATTCCAGGGTGCTGTCATTGGGAGAAGATGAGAATGCCGATATTCAGCCAAATATTATCATTGCCATGAAAACGTGAGAGCGCTGTTGCTGAGTAACAGTATAGCTTCCCTTTTGGTGCGGTGTTAACAATCTGGTATTTCACTAATAATTTATGGATTTCCTTTCAGATGCATTGCATATGAGGAGCATTATGGTTAAACATGCTTTCTCTCCAGCTTCTTGTAGATGCTCACCACAGTAGCTTTTTAAGGTCTCCCAAGAGTGGCTGGATGTCGGTCTTTCCCTTCCTGATTTCTAGCAAAGAGGCTTGAAGTGGTCTCTGTATTTATGTACATGCAAAAACCTGTGTGTGTAAGACTTTATTATGGGAGAGCATGGGTATAGAGATTTGTATTCAACTTGGAAAGAGAAGAATGCCATTCATGAAGTATTTTTTTCGCTCTGATTTTCTTTAGAGTATTAAAGTTTCCTGCTACTTTTCCTTTTATTGTTTTTTCCTGGCAACCTGAAAACTTCCAAGAATGACACATTGGCTTGTTCAGTTCCAGCTTATCCATTTTGGCAGTTATAACAGTATGAAGAATTGTCAAATTTGCCCAGGAATTACGGGAGAGGTTAGATCTTTCATTGAAGAAGCGCATGTACCATGACTGTAAATATTGTTGTGAAAGCTTTTGTGCTTTATGGCATCTGAAGAAGGGCGTACTGTCAGAATGGGGAAGAGAAGGATAAAAAAGGAACTGACAAAGCACATAATTCAGCTGTATGATATTAAAGATCATTCTAACAGTCCATCTTGTCCATGATGTCATATGCTTGAAATGCATCCTATTAGCTCTTGGGTTCGAGGCTTAGAAGCTGGAGACCTGGGTTTTATTCCCAGGTTCGCAACAAATTTCCCAGCTTTGGGCAAGTTACTTCTTTACGTCTCTGCATTGATTCCCTCATCTTTAAAACCGGATGATCTCACTCTAAGATGAAATGAAACTAAATTAATATGTGTAGGGAATTATAGGTTGTTTTTAAGAATAGGATATTACTAGTATTCCTGTTATGATCCAAAATATGCACTTGCAGATGGACCTGTAATACTAAGATCTAGAGAAATGCCGGTTTCCCTAAGATTAGAGGAAAAAAGGTACTGTTTTCTTTTAACTTAACTTAATACATTTCATAGTTTATTCATCATGATAGCTAATATCTCCAAGACTATTTCCAGAGGGAGCCATTCGGACAAAATAGTGCTGTTTGTGTAACGGCAAATGTAGGACGTTAGTGCAGGAAATTGTAAGCCAATTTCCAGGACTTTTTAAAGGTAATGATTAAAAATTAATTGTGAAGAAGAGTATTAAGCATTTATTCATGATAAATTCCTTAGGAAACTTAATGTGATGTGGTTCTTCTTAAAGGAGAGGGCAGTGTGAAAATTGTTTAGCTTTTCGGTGGTTAAGTGCAAAAACTTGCTTAAATCCTTGAGCAGAGGCAGAGAAACTGGGAAGCCCCAAGAGAGTAATTCAGATCAAGTTCTGTATTGGAATTTAATATTTTATGAGCATTTAGTGCACAGATTGTTGCATGCTCCTCCATCATCTGCCCCAAGTAGTAAAGGGCAGCAGCCTAGAGACAATGTTGGAGGTATAAAGCTTTATTCTGCATCCAAGAAAGATACTGCTCTAGTTGGAGGGTTGAGTAGTTCATGGCAAATGCACAGCTTGCACCCTATGTTAAAAGTAAGGACACCTCCAAGAGGAACTTTGGGACCTAGAAGTACATCAGCTCCTTCCTTTGACCCTGTGCCAGAGGCTGTTCCTAGCTGCTGGCCAGGTTATGTTCAGAACCTGGAGCTGTCTTTCCATCTGGCAGTTTGGAAGGGGCAGCATTTAATGGTCTCCTTGCATTTCCTGGTGGTGGCCTAACTGTTCTGTTCCCTTCTCACTCTGTAGTACAGGCAGTCCTCAGGCTTACAACACAATTGGTTCCTGAAAACTGTGTCTTAACTCGAAACGTTGTGGGACGTAAATTGGTGATTAGTTGCTGAACCAAGGCCCAATACCGTATTTTCACTAAAAATACCCCAGAATTTTGTACTCGATCAATTATAGATGAGTAATATAGCTACATTGATGTATTTATATTGTAAATAGCAATCATATTGATTTGGAAGGACTTCTTTGAGGTGACTTTGCTGGACTTTTTGAAGGGCTCTTGGTTGGACTTATTGAACGGTTCTTGGCTGGAGTCTTCTCAGGAGTCTTGGCTGTAGGTTTTCTGGAGTTTTGTCTGCTTTCTTAAAGAAAAAGTGTCCAAGGAAGTTTGGACAGATGTTCTCCAGGGAGGTGAGCGACGCAGTGAACCTGTTCGCTGGCGTGGCATCGGATCAAGCGTTGTAAAGTCGAAACTGATGTCAAAAAGTTGAAACAGGGTGTCGATTTATAAATGTTGTAAGTGCAAAACATTGTAAGTCAAGGACTGCCTGTACTGTGGTTAACAATCAGGGGAAAGGTTTCTGTGAAGGTGGGCAGCCTCATTAAGTGTGAGCACAGTGTCCTCATGAAAAGGTGATGAACTGTCTGGCTCCGGAAAAGTAGCCCAGTACTGGCTCTGTATTTTCCAAATGTAAACTGTATTGCTTTTCATGCTAAAGCCGTGTGGATAGACGAAATAAGTTTTGAGGGAGGTCTTTCAGTTCATCTTTCATGATTCTTATCAAACACCTGGATTTTCAGAAATGACTAGTGATTCTTGGATATTGCTTTTTAAGGAGGCCTGTCTTTTGGGACATCTAAAAGATGCCTGATTTTTCAGCAAGCATTGAGAACATAACATCTGAAAATTGGCTCCATCAAGCATGATACATTAGGCATCCAAAATTACATAGTGCCTAAAATATTGAGGCAACAGAGATAAGCCAGTTCTGAAAGAGGCTTTCCTAAAAGCTCTTGTTGCTATGTCTACCTAAGTAGTAGAAAATCTCAGGGTCAAGAGACAAAGAACGTAGCTACTCTTGTACATTTACATTAAACTGGAATGAATGCTTTGATCATTCATATCGTAATGATGCACAGATTTATTTTTAAATCGTAAAAACAGTATGGTATGGTTTCTTTTCTTTCGTATGGCGGTGGCACTCTCCAGAGACCTTCTAAACTGAGCTAAGTTTTCTGTGGTATAAATAAGGAAGAACTGTAGAGCTTGCCCTGTATTGACCAATGAAGTTTGCAGGAGATCTAGATGGTATTAATAAGTCTTTATCCTGTTATGCATTTTTTCCAAGATAGGGAGTTAAGTGGATATCCTCCTCCAACAAAATTAATTTTTGTCTGTGGCTTGATTATGTGAAAATTTCTTTCAAATTTATAATCAAATATAATGCCGTATTATTACAGTAGGTTTTTTACCTTTATTCAGTTACCTAACGATTCCCTGCATCACAGTGAATCGAGAGGGGAAAGGTCATTTTAACACTGAAAGCTCGAGTAAATATTTTGGATTAATACAGTCTGTGCAAGTGTGGTAAGAAAATTCTGATATATGAGATAAGCTTTTCATATATTCCAAATTTTCTTTTGCTCTGCTATATTGACTTGAGTTCTCAGGATCCAGTTAAATTTGTAATGAACTAGTATTAGGTTAACAGTGAAGCACCATTAAAAAAAAAAAAGCAAATACAACTTAATGTGCAATAAACTTTGAGGTTGTGAACTTTGTACTGGGTGCAAAAATACTGTAGTTGAATTTAGGGGTCCATTCATAAGTAACTGCACTTAGTTAACTGTGGCAGCATCAGCTTCGTCACTATTACCATTGCCATCACTTTCCTCCGTAATGAAATTGGGAAGGACAAGTGTGGGGAAGGAAGTTTGTTTTAAATAGTAGAGGATCAAGATCAACTTTAAATTTAAGATTATTGTTTGGAATTGACATCAACTTTTCAAAAACGAAAAAAGTAAAGGGAACAGACTTTTGGCATGTAGCGTTTTACTGTGTTGTAAGACATAATGAGACCAAGGCATTCATAAAGCAGCAATGACATGTTCAACATGATGAAAATATTACCCGTAGTTGATGTTTCAGCAGTCTGACCCATCCAGTGACTGCAATCCTTACTGAATGCCTAGTAAATTTGTCGTCTTGTTTTCAGCACCCTCGTGCCACGTACATGCTTTACATCTGGAAATGCCTTTAACCAATAGTCTAAAGTTATCCAAAGGGAATAGTAAAAAATAGAGGTCTTCCACATCAATGAGCTCTGAAGGGACAGAGATACAGTTCTCTGTGCCCAAAAAGGAGAAATGTTTTGAGAGTCTGCAGGAGAAAATATTAAAGAACATGATTGAAAAGGAGAAGAATTCTAAGTTGGTAAACGACAGTGCTTTTTGTTTCCAGTGCTTAAGTCAGTAAAATAATTGTAAAGTGATTTTTAAAATCATTGTTGCTTGTGTTTTAAAATATATACTGATAGGAATGTTTACAACTTAGTGACTTTTACAAATAAGCATGTTGTCAGCCAAGGGTCTGCTAAGTTTGTGTATTTTCCCTAAATTTTCAGGAGCATTGAAAACTGAAAGAAAAGGGAAACTGGAAGAGAAAAGCTCATCGTCATTTGGTATGACCAGAAAATAAATCTTTAAGTAAAAAGACTAAGGCTTGAGAGAGCAAGTACATAGCCTGCCCCTAACTTTTTTTTTTTTAAAACAGTTATGCATGTTTAGGTATAAATGCTCATCTGTTCTAATACTTCTAGAGGAAGTAGTTAAAGCTATATACTTGCAGAGATGCATAAATGCTCCTTGGGAGTAAACTCATGCAAACGTATGACTGACAAAATGGGTGTGTAAACTGTGAGGATATGGAGGGATCAGGCAGGTATCAGTTGTCGGGCTATAATTTCATTTATTTCCGTTTCTGGACTGCCAGTGCAGGGCAAGAAGCCCAAAGCAGGAAACAGGAAGAGTGACAGGGTATCTCTTAAAACATTTTCTAATCTAGTAAGTGATGTGTGTGATTGTTGGTCTTGGACCTATAGATGGGATTAGTGAAGGAAAATAGTAGACTGCTAGGTTTCCTGCAATTTATTCAGGATTTCCAAAAACAGATATAAATAGTTAAGATCTGCGGTCCTTCTGGAGCAAGGGTGGGCAAATTTTTCGGGCTGGAGGGCCATTTAAGGAGTTTTGGTGAGCTGTTGTGGGCCAGGTCAGCACCCCCTTGTCCCCTCCACAACAGCTCACCAAAACTCCCTAAGTGGCTCTGCCGCCAGGGCACAGCACTGTGCTGTCACCACCCAGCGACCCTGGGTCAGGCCTTGGATTCCTGCAGACAAGGTGTATTCGGCCTGGTGAATGGGATGGGGCTGTAGGTGGGCAGGGAGAAGTCTGGGAGCAGGATGGATGGACAGGTTTGCAGGACTGGGGCCAGGATCTTGCAGTGGTCACAGCACAGAGCCAGGGCCTGGTGCAGAGCCATGATCCACACCTCCCACCTGCCCCGCCTGTAGAACTGGTGCCTATTGCAAGGACATGCGAGTGGCAGATCATGGCTGTGCCCCAGCCCTGTGGTATTACCACCCCAAGATCCCAGCCACCTGTCCTGCTCCCAGATGCCACTTCCCATCCATCTGCATCACTGTCCCATCTGCCTGGCCGAGCGTTCCCTGCCTGTGCCGGTCCTGGACCCATCTCCATGGAGACCCTGCCCATCTGGTGCTCCAGTGGTAGGTGTGGGGCGGATGGGTTGGGGTGCCTGGGCAATGGGGCCAGGTCCAGTGGCAGGGATGGCAGTAGCAACAGCAGACCAAAGGAACTGCTGCCAGCGGGGCTGCTCTGAAATAGTGTGGCTGCACGCTCCCTGGGCTGGGCTGCCTCCAATGCCTGAGCCAGGTGGGCTGTATTTTGTCTACCCCTGTTCTAGTGGTTCTCCACCACGGTGCCCAAATTGAGAAACTGGGGTGTTCTGAGATCATTTAAAGGGTGCTGTGCAATATTAGCACTGTTTAGGTATGTAGGCACCTATATATGATACATGAGATTAAACTTAGAGGCCATGTCAAGATGAGCATGGCTGTGTGGTATGTGGCACTGCAGACATGTCTGGATATCCAGGGGTCAAAAAACCTGCAGAGAATAAATGTAGAGTGGCACATGCACAGGCAGTGCACATGGCTCAAAAGCAGAGGTGGGTTGGCTGGAGCTGTGCTGCGGCTGCTGGCCAGGCTCTGCACAGCAGACTCGCCTCTGCTGCAGCCCTGGAAGGCCTCCAGGACCCCTAGTAAGGCTGCTGGGACGAGCACACTGCTGGCCCCGTCTTCTGCTGCCCCCTCCCAGGGTAACTTGCTATGCCTCAGAGGATGTGTGGCCTGGGCATTCCCTTGAGACAACTAGTGGCAGTGCAGGGTGTGCTGCTGCTAGTTGTCCTCACATAACCAAATGTCCACACCATGTGTAGATGCAGTCAGAGATTTTGGATAGGAATCCCTGGTGTTAAAAGTATTTCTGTCCTGCTGTGGGGCTTTCTGAGTTCTTTGCAATAAAGAGTTAAAAAACATAGTCAAA